ATAACTTTTGATTGGATAAAGCTAATGAGCTGAAATTTTTTATGGTGTTACCTTGTTCCATTTATAGTGTTCTGAGCGAAACACTTTTTTAAATTTTATAAAAACAAGGCTAGCAATATGACAGAAAAATGTTTTTCTTTTTTATGAAATTTAAAGTTTGACAGTGAACCTGGCGCGTTTAAAAAATAATTTTTGCTCAGAACATATTATTACTAATTAAAATTGCAATTTTTAAATTTCAAGAGATTCTGATCATTTTTTAACAAGTTATTCTTGTTGGAAAAAACATATCAAAATAGGTGTTAATAGCGTGTACAATTAATGACGTCATCATTAAATTTTTATGCAATCAGTGTTAATTGTTTTTTTTGAATAGTATATACCGTTATATACCGTTATATACCGTTATATATTTTGAATAGTATATACCGTTGAATAGTATATACCGTTAAAATAAAATATTTTTAACTATTTTAACTTTTTGAAAAAAAAAGTGTTTTTACCCTGCTACCACCTTAACGGTAAAGGGAAAATAAAAAATATTACATCATATTAACAACCAATAATCACAGCAATTTTCACCGCGAACGGACGTGTTTTAAGAGCTTATTAAAAAACTTATAATAATGGCGAAAAACTTTACACTAGCACAACTTAAAGAAATCCTTGAAAATCACGAGAATACTATGATGAAAATTTTTAATGATCGGATAGAAAAATGGAAATTAAATTTAATAACTTAAAAGATTAAAACTTTACGTTAAAAAAAGAATTATCTGAGGTACAGAAAGCTGTCGAATTTATAAGTAAAAGCTATGATAAAATAATAATTGAACTTACAGAATTAAAAAAAAAACAGAGTCTAAAAAATCACCAGATGAAAGCAATATTGAAAATGGAACTAATAACATAAAAGAGAAAATAGCAGAACTAGAAGACAGAAAGTCGTTGAAACAACTTGAGATTTATTGGAATTAAAGATAAAGCTAATGAAACTTGGGAAGAAAATGAACAAAAAATCAAAGACTTCCTCAATACAAAGCTTAATATACAAGAAAAAATTTTATTAGATAGAGCCCATCGAGTTGGAAAAGAAAACGGAAAAAACAGATCAATAATTGTTCGATTTCAAAACTACAAAGACAAAGCCCTAGTGTTAAACAAATAAACGACGATGAAGCTATGGAACGAACGGTTGTACGTTAACGAAGACTTCAGCGATTTTACAATGGATTTACGCAGAAAGCTTTTCAAAGAAGCGAAAGAATTGAGAGCGAAAGGTAAGTTTGCTAAAGTAGTCTATAATAATAATAATTCTACAATAAATTAATTACGCGCGACCTATAATTATAAAGGAATTCTTTTAATATTCTATAATTAAATTTAAAAACAAAATTGGATGACTACGAATCCATTACTTTTAATTTTCATGATAAGTACTTAAAATCAAATTTTAATTTAGATCCAGATGTCAACTTTTTTAATGATGTGAACACATGTTGTTCTTATTTTTATCCCAAAGAGTTAAAAGAATTTCTTAATAAAAATGGCACTGAAAATCATAAAAACAGAATCCTTCACATTAATATTAGAAGTCTAAATTTTGAAAAGTTTTGCGATTTTTTAGATGAAACTGAAAATATTTTTAACATAATTTGCTTAACAGAAACGTGGATTTCTTCGAATGATTTTAAAAATAATTTTATTTTCTATCTTCCTGGTTTTGAAATAATTTTATTAGAAAGACAAACAAGTAAACGCGGTGGAGGAGTTCTGATTTACGTTAAGGAACACATTGCGCCTAACATTAGGAATGATATGTGTGTTTCTGACGGTGATAAAGAAATCGTAACTATTGAAATTCTAAACAATAAAAAAAATAATATTCTTTTAAGCTGCTGTTATAGACCACCTGATGGTGCGTCTGAAAATCTTGTTTCTTTTTACAGCAAAATATCATTCACAAAGGTCGCAAAGAAAACAAAATTACTTTTATAATTGGAGATTTCAACATGAACTGTTTAATTTATAATAAAGATAAAAAAATAAAAAGTTTTCATTATGAAATACTTATGGCAGGAGCTCTTCCTTTAGTTAATCGCCCTACTAGAATAACCAAAACTTCAACTATGTTGATTGATAATATTTTTACAACAGATATTTATAATAGGAAATTAAAAAAAGGACTTATAAAAACCGACATATCCGATCATTTTCCCATTTTTCTAACAACCCATACTGTATCCTCTAATAACCCCGAAAGACAAAATATAATAAAAAAACGTGTCTTCAATGAGAGCAATATAAAATCCTTCCAATATCAATTATCACTTCTGCATTGGAAACATATTAACTTTAATGAAGACGCAAATACAATATATAATAAATTCTTTGATACGTTCTTCTCAATATACGATGCAAACTTTCCACTTTGTGAAAAAATAACAAAAATAAAAACCTTAAATAGTCCATGGATTACCAAAGGACTTAGAAAATCCTCTAAAATCAAACAGAAACTATATATAAAATATCTAAAAACAAAATCAAATGAAAACCAACAAAAATATAAAAATTACCAACATTTAATTTGAAAAAATTCGTAAAAAATTAAAAAAAGATTATTATTCAAATTTAATTCGTAAATTTAAAAACGACTCAAAAAATACTTGGAGAACGTTGAAAGAAATAACAGGAAAACAAAAAACAAATTCAAACTCCCTTCCTAAAGTAATTAAAATAAATAAAACAAATATATATGAACCAAACGAAATTGCAAGTTTAATAAATATTCCATTGACATAGACAACCAAATTGGCAAACAAGATCCCTATTACAAAAAAAAATTTTAGTGATTTCCTAGAGCCTATAAATAATTCGCTTTTTATAGAAAATTTACATTCTGACTTATCTTTTGATGAGTTTGAGAGAGCTTACAAAACTCTCAAAAGAAACAAAGCTACGGGTGCGGACGAAATAAATGGCAACATAGTCATAGATTGCTTTGAAAACTTAAAATGTATTCTTTATAAAGTCTTAAGGGCATCTATACAGCAAGGTGTATTCCCCGACCAATTAAAAATAGCTAAAGTAACTCCTATATACAAAAACGGAAAAAAATCAAATATTAGTAATTATCGCCCTATCTCAGTTCTTTCAACTTTCTCAAAAATTTTAGAAAGAATTATATACAAAAGAACATACAATTACCTTAATCTAAATAAACTTCTATATAAAAATCAACTCAGTTTTAAAAAAAATTGTTTAACTGAACAAGCCGTTACACAGTTCATTCGTGAAATCTCCGATTCATTTGGTAGATCACAATATACATTAGGTATTTTCATTGACCTATCAAAAGCATTCGACACGGTCATCACAAAATTCTACTTACAAAACTCAAATTTTACGGAATTAATAGCAAATTAATAAAATGGTATAAAAGTTACTTGGAAAATAGAAAACAATTTGATTTCTATGGAGATTATTTTCAAAATGAAAAATTAATTGACATAAAATGTGGTGTTCCACAGGGTTCTATTCTAGGTCCACTTTTGTTTTTAGTTTATATAAATGATTTAAATAAAGCTTCTAACCTTATGAGTATAATTTTTGCGGGCGATACTAATTTATTTCTGTCAAACAGTGGCATTTATGAGCTTTTTTCAAATATGAATAAAGAACTCAATCAGATCTCCAACTGGTTTAAGTGCAACAAGCTAACTTTAAACATTGACAAAACAAAGTGACAGGGCCGTACCAGGCCAACTTTGCGCTTCGGGCAAGCAAATAAAATTGCGCCCCCCTCCCAAAAAAATATACAAAAAACACATTATATATATATATATTTATATGAAAAAAAATTAATTATTGATCACAAAATTTATCGCATAAAGTTAAAAGAACAATTTGTCACCAATATTTTACAAACTTCAGTTCAAGGTCACTTTTCTGGCTTTTTTGGAGGCAAAGTCACTAATGACATCATCAAAATCAAGTGCGTTGGCCACTTCATGTTCAATTGAAACTACTGCCAGACAAGACAAACGTTCTTGGCCCATAGTTGATCTCAAATAGTTTTTTATGATCTTAAGTTTACTGAAACTTCTTTCACACGTGGCAACTGTAACTGGTAAGGTGAGGAAGATGCAAATAGCAATTGCCGTGTTAGGATAAGCATCAGTCAATGAGTATTTATGAATGAGCTGCAAAATGTCCATCGGGCTTGATTTTTCAAAGTTTTCCATCATGGCAGCAGCTTGATAATTAAAGCTTGCCATTTCTGACTGGAAATCTGAAGAATCTAAATCTGCCTAGTAAATTTTAGACAAATTTTTGGCTTTAGTCTTAAGTACATCCACTGAACTTTTGGAGAGAGAATGTCCACTGAGGAAGTCAAAATCTGAGGATACTGCAGACATAGCTTCAAACCGCCACTCAATTTGTGTGAGAATGCTGTCAAACACAAGGTTGCACTGGGATCCGAAATCTGTTTCTGGTGACAAACGGCAAAAGTCATCTTCAGCTTCATAAAGTGCCATCTGCTTCACTTTGCGCTTTCTCTTCATAGGAAAGTCTTCTTCAATTCCAATTTGGATAGCTGTTTCTGCAGCAGCTTTGATAATGTTGTCCACCCCAACATCTCTCAGGTTCTGAATGGAAGCCTTCAGTTCTTTCATTTTTTTTGCTGCAATGTCAATTGAAATGTTTTTATACTGAAGCAGTTTGTTTTCCCGGTCAATTAAAGAAAGAATTTGACACCAAAAATCCAACAAACACAGAAAACTGAAATCAATTTGAATGATGAGCTTTTTTGCACTGCAAACTGAGACAGCATTTGTCTTGGGAGTGTGAATTATGAATTCCAAAACTTGAAGAACTTCTTTGATTTGTCTGTGTAGTGGGGTGATTGCTTCTTTTTTGGCAGACCATCTTGTATCACTATTTCCCTTTAGTGAGATGGTCAATGTTTTCATCAGTTTTTCCCATCTTAAGGTAGAACTTCAGAAAAAGTTAAAAATGGCTTGAACTTTTCCAAAGAATGTAATCATGAGTAGAGAAACTTCAGCAGCATGGACACCAACAAGATTTAAAGTGTGAGCTGCACATGGAACAAATCTTGCAAACTCATTTAGAGAATGGATGTGAGCTTGGACGCCATTATATTTTCCAGACATATTGGCTCCATTGTCGTAACCTTGGCCCCGACAATCAGAAATACTCAGGCCATCCTTCTCCAGTTTTTCGGTGATTTCAGCTGCAAGGCCCTTTCCAGTTTTTTCGTAAGATTCAATGAAGTCCACAAAGCTTTCCTCAATTGTACAGGTTTCCTCAGTGATGTGGACATACCTGATTATTTGGGTCATCTGCTCTTTATGGGAGGCATCTGGAGTGCAGTCAAACAAAACAGAGTAGTATTTAGCTTCTCTGACGTTTGACAAAATTTCATTCCTGACTTTCTGCCCAAGTAATTCAATCAGCTCATTTTGAATTCGAGGAGAAAAGTAGGATATTGTGGTTTTCTTTGCTTTAACGGATGCAACGTGTTCAGCCACTAAAGGATAATAATGGCTTATCAGCTCAATTAAGTTCAGAAAGATGCCACTGCTTTGCTCTCCAATTACTTCTGCTGAATCCTGAAGGGCAAGATTGTTCTTGGCATAGAACAAAATTGCATCAACAATCACTTTCAAGATATCTCTCCACTTTTTCATCTCTCCGTTGATAACTCTCTGCAGATCAGAATCCAAGGTCTTTCCTTCCTTGAGATTTTTTTTCAGATTTTTCTAATCAGAATAGCATCTTTGGTGTTCATTGTTGTTTTCATGTTCTGGAATTCTTGGGTTTAGTTTTTTCCAGTCACAAAATTGTTTTGAAATTTCTGAAAAATTGTTGGTTTTTGTCGTTGAAAATAGCAGACAGCAAAAACAAAACAAAGAATCTTTTTTGTTGCTGTACAGCAGCCAGTAGCGAACAAATTTTTCACCATTGGGATGAATTTTTTCATACCATTTTGAGCTGAAGTGTCGCATTCTGTTGTTAAAGTCACAAAGTGTGTTTGGGAAAAATTCTCTTCTTTCTTGGTCCGGCTCATGCTGAATCAAAAAGCACCTTGTTTTATCTGTCATTTTAGGCCATGTAGCTGGATCACTGTGTTGAAAGTTTTCTCCTGAGGTTCCTGAAATTTCTGAGATTTCAGGAGGAAATTCACTGTTGCCCATTTTAATTGGTTTGGAAAGCTGAGAATTTCTATCTTCTTGTGCTTCTGAATCATTTGGTCCAAATTCGTCTTGACTTTGGCCAATCAAAACCTCCTCTTCGATTAATTCCAATGGATGATATGAATTTAAGTCAGTAATTAAAGATGTAGCAGCAACTTCAGCTGTTGAATCATTATCAACTTCATTGCAAATATCCTCTGAAATAATTTGTTTTTCCACATAAGAGTTAGTTACCAACCACTTCTTGAAACAATTTCTTAGTTTTGCGTCACTTTCAAGACGGTCTCTTCTTTTCTTCTTAAATTCAGCACCAGACAATTTTTTTGCACGATTCATTGTAAAAAATAATGTTCAGAAAATACAATTTTTTATTTTTTAATTGCGCTCTTCTATTATTTATTTTTTCTTTTTTCTTTTCTTCTCCCTCTTTATTTTTATTATTATTTGCTTACTTTACTTTCTTTAGCTTTCATTTCATTTGTTTCTTTATTTAAGCCTCTTAAATTAAGCGTTCTTTTTTTAAATTCGAAGTTCTTTTTTTCTATATTTTTTTCTATTTAGAATAATTTTTATTGTGTGCGTTAAATTAATTTATATGATCCTTAATAAATCATTTGTTTATATTATAAATAATTATTGGTTTTTAATTGTCGTTCTTAAATTCAGCACCAGATAATTTTTTTGCACGATTCATTGTAAAAAATAATGTTTAGAAAACACAACTTTTTTGTGTTTAAGGGCGCTCTTCTGTTTGGTAAATGAGCTTTTATTTTAAAGTTCGTCAGGAGGCGCAATTTTAATTAATTTTCTTATCAACATAAAAGTGACGCCAGGCAAATTAGTTTCATAATGTAAAAATAAATTAATTAATTTGGGGAATTTTGCGCCCTCCCCAATTTTGGCGCCTCAGGCCGCGGCCCGGCTGGCCCCGCCCTTGGTACGGCCCTGCAAAGTGGATCCTTTTCCACTCTCTTGCAAAAAAGCGTTTTTTACCAAATAAATTGCCTAAACTTTTTATTGATAAAATTGAAATAAAAAAGGAGTCGGTCACAAGATTTTTAGGCATTTACATTGATGAAAATATTACATGGAAGTATCATATCGACTATATTTCTACTAAATTGGCTAAAAGTATTGGAATTCTATATAAGGTCAGATACTATCGAAGTAAACAAAATTTAATTCAACTCTACTACTCATTTATTCATAGCTATATAAATTATGCAAATAATGTTTGGGGAAGTACCTCTAAAAGTAAGTTACGAAATCTTTACCATCGTCAGAAACACGCATTGCGTTTAATATGTTTCGAAAATCGTTCTTCTCAATCAAATATTTTATTTAAAAACGTTAAAGCACTTAACGTTTACGAACTCAATGTCTATAATATTTTATGTTTTATGTTTCGTTGTAAAAGTGAACGATCATTGTCCAATTTCAAAGATCTTTTTACTTACAAATATGCTTTACGAAATAATAATTTATTAATTGAACCCTTTTGTCAAACAAAGTTTAATCAATTTTGCATAAACTATAGAGCACCGTATTTATGGAACAAAATTGTTGTTCCAAATTTTGATCTGTCAATTTCGTTTTCCGTTTTTAAAACTAAATTAAAAAACTATATTCTTTCTACTGGCAATATATATAAATATTTTTGAAATGTAAAACTCTTTTTTTCACTCTTGATAATTTGCAAAATTATTTTCAGTTTTTGTTTCTTCTACATTGTTAATAGTTGTTTGATCAATTTTATTTTTATTTTATTATATATACACGTATGATATATTTTATATGGTTCTGGCGACAAGATCATTTGGATCTTCTTTCAGATACCAAGTTTATATATTGTTATATTGTTATATTACGATTAATAATTGTAAACTGAAAAAAAATAAAATAAAACTATGGTTTGCAAAAAAGTTCGCATTTTACCGGTTCGCAGTTCGCGGTTCGCATTTTGCATTTTACCGATAACCAATAATGTAGATTATACAAGATGTTGTCTATTTTCTGTAGGTTCATGTGGGTAATATTTAAGATTAAGACTTACTGGATTATTTAAATGCGACGAGATAACAGAAGTGTTTGCTAATGGTTTTGCCAAATAACATGTAATTGAGTCGCAAATACATGTAGAGCTAAGAAATGAACAAGTTATAAAGCTTTTCACAAACAAAAGTGTGGCAGAAAGTTGTATGTATTAAAGCAGTGCTTACATACATGCCGTGAAATTCGTCCAACAAAAAGGGAAGATGCAAAAAAAAAAAAATCCCCAAAAAACAACAGGAGACCAGTATAAAATTATTAATAAATGTTTTCCTTGCTTTAAAAATTTCACAGAGACAGCATGTTTCTAAATCACGTAGAAGAAAGTAGAGAATGAGCCTACTTACACGCTTGATTTATTGTCTCCAAAAAACTTCTTTTCTTCAGAAAATGTGAACGAGTTATCAGAAACAGGCGCTCCAGATATAAAACCTGTTAAATGGAATTTTTCGAAAAAAAAGATAATTCTTTTTTAGGTACACAATTGGTTTGGTCAGGAAGCAAAGAAAGGAAATAGGAGCACTTACATTGAAACAAAATAAAAAGTTAACTTGGCAAAAGATTGAATGGACCTTGCAATACACTTTTTAAATTATATATCATTATTATGACTTATTCTAGTTATAACTATATATAAGCTATATCCCATAATTATGGGACAAGCAAAATTAATATACCGATGGTCATCAGCAGGTACTTTTTGGAAACATTTTTTAATCATCGTAACTGTATTTACAATATATTGAGTTAGCTAACATACAATTTGGTTATTAACAATGAGATTCAGAGCACTATATTTCTAGAATGCCAACTTTAGGTATCCACCATTAAATACAGTATGATTGATAATTTCTTGTGCTGTTTACAAATCAATAATGTTGAAGCTTTGAGGTTTGTTTGTCCCGTTTTCAGGAATAACCCTATAAATATCAATAATTTATATAAAAATTATCTTATTTTAATATATATTTCTTATTCTGTAGGTACCATCTAAAGCTGTTCTAACAATGGCAAAGATGATACACTTACAATGATGATACACTTGTAAAGGCATAAATAAGTTTATTTCTCTAATGAGATGTTTTATCAAAGCGTCTACAAATGCAATAACATTAAAAGATAGAAAGACGTTCAGAAAAATAGAGCGACATTTAAAGACTACGTATAGTTTGCATAACATAGAAAAGTCAAATAATGCTTTAAATTGTATCAGCTGTGATTTGTGTAATTCTGTTACAAAAATTTTTAGAGCAAATGGAAATCAAAAGAAACAAAAAGATAGATGTCTTAACTGTGGTGTCTACTGCAATGAGTCGTCACTCACTGAAGCTGACCTCCAAACCAACAAAATGAAAATTCCCACAGCAACAATATATAAGACATATATCAATGGATTCAACACAGTAAATAAAATACCCGTTATATTTTTTAAAAACATAACGGGAGTTTTCCTCGCACATAACGGGTAATTGCCGTTATGTTAAATACTAAACATGTATGAAAATAACATAACGGTTTTAGCGTTATGTTTAGTCATAGCAAAATTGCCTTAAACATAACGGTTACATAACGCTAATTTACCGTTATGTGCGAGGAAAACTCCCGTTATATAACGGGTAATTACCCGTTATGTTACCGTTATGTTGAAAACCTAACATAACGGGTAATTACCCGTTATGTTACCGTTATGTAAAATGAAAATTATCTTTTTAAAGAAACGCATAATTCTGCATGACTATTCGCACAAAGTACATAACAAAAAAATATTTTTTTGTCAATAAAAGTTGTAAGAAGAAAATAAAAATTATACATAAAATATATTTCATATCATAATATATTTATATTATACTATTTATAATAATCATGAAAATTATTTACAAAATAATTGAATAAATTATTTACAAAATAATTGAATAAAATAACTTATTAAAATTTATAAATTCAAAAGTAATTTGCATTGTTTTGAAAAGATTGCAGAAGAAAAATGCATTTTTTAGATAATAAAGCCAATTGCAAAAAGTCTCAAATATCTTGCTAACATCCCAGAAGCCGCCCAAAACAAGAATATGTTAAATCTAGCAAATAGTAAACAAATGTACTGATCAAGGGTTGAACATCCATTTTCGATACCTCTTCAACTCCTTACATCATATTCTGTTTTATTAAAGATAACTTGTGGACCATATAAACTTTGGCATAAGTATTCATGTAGTGAATCACACTAAAATTTTATAAAAAAAAAAATAACTATCACAATCATAAAATAAAAAATTATTATTAATACATTAAATGGAAAAAAAGAAAAAAGAATGTGAACCATTGCAATACAAAATATGCTTACCATTAGTTAAAATGTCAGCAATATTACAAGCAATAACAACTTTCTTTCCCCAAGAAATTTGACAACAACAGCCTTTATTATTTTCAACTATTAACTATTGAAGAAATAAGTAAAGCAGTTATTATTAGTTTATACTACTTTAATTTTAAAAATAGTATATTTAACATTTTTTAATACTTGCAATACAAAATGAATGTTAAAAAACAGTAATAATAAACAGACAGGTCAGACGGTAAGAGGTAAACACCATTATTACACAAGTATTAAACAACATTATTAAACAACATTATTTGGCACAATTTAATTAGTTTAATAATACTACACTAATTTATATTATATTAAATTGTGCCAATTTTCGGTCCGTAAATTGACCAATAAGTTCCCTGAAATAGACTAAGGCAACATCTAATAGAAAGGATTTTGTAACTGTAACAAGGTCCTGAAATTTCAATCAATTTTCAATTCAGTGTGTTGTAATGATATCCAATCTGTTCTTTTTTTTCTAAACAAAGAAAAATAAGTTTTGTTATTAATCTACAAAATTTATTATTTATGTCAGTGACAAATTGAACATGGGTAAAAGAAATGATTTTAACTCAAGAAAGAAAGGTCAAATAACAAATTGCTTGAAAGCAAATGGCTGACAGACAGAACGGACAGACAAAAGAAAATTGCCAAAAAACTATTTCTGTAAAAAAATATTTCTGTAAAAACTGTAAGTTTGATAAAGTAAAAATAATTTTCAGGCATAAAAACAGACCCTTCTAGAATCGAAAAATTCGATCAAAAGCGGCTACTATACCGAGACTTGACCGAAAAATACAAAATATGGTCCAAATGAACAGAAGAATCTCCTCCTGTAAGAAAATTGTGATGAAACTAGCAGATAAGGGTAAACTTTTAGTTGTCAGAGTGTGAACAACAGCCATTTAGATATTGGACTAAAGACATATTGACCGAGAGAAAAAATTCAGGAGTGAATATGTATGAGTGGGCCAAGGCGCATGAAACTCGGAACATAGTAAAAACACAGACACCCGTTTATCAGTAATCTCTGATTGTGACTCATGCCACACAAAAAAAAAATTGAAGGAGTAGTTTGCGAAAAGTTCTATAAAAGTACTTAAATGGCCCAGAAACTCTCCAGACATGAATCTAATTGAGAACTTATGGAAATAACTGAAAGATAAGATCCAAACTTTACCAATTACAACAAAAACCAAACTGATTGAACAGTCGTTTCAGTTGTGAATTCGTAGTGAAAAAACTAAATAACTTTTTCAAATTGATTTTGTATATGTCTAAACGTGTTAATGCCCTAAAATTTGCTAAAGACGACATACTGAAATGTTTCATGTACTATTTAAAAAAAATATTAAATATGCTTTTTTGACTTATTCATGAAAATAAAGTAAAAGTATTAAAAATTCGAAAAAATTGGTATGAAAGGGGGAGTGTTTGGTATGATAATTAGTTTTTAAATTCGATGTAAAATTTATGATAATAATAGTAATTAAATACTAGGTGTCTGTTACATCAGTTGAACTTTAAAACTTGCATAAATTCGTTAGTTGAATTTTTTTTGTAAACCTTATACTCTACTGGCTCAGGTTACTAGCCCTAACAGGCTCTCGAATCCATTCACTAGGATTTCAATCGTTAAAAAACTTAATTAAAGCGTTAAAAAACGCAGCCGTTGATTAAAATAACAAACACGAAGTTCGAAGTGCGAAGTTCATTAGGGCGAACTGGTATAAGTGCGAAGCAGTTACAAAAACAGGAAAAAGTACAAACTGGTATATTGTGCAAATTGGCATAAGTGCGCCAAAATAATTTGCAAACATTGGCATAAGTGCGAACTGACATAAGTACAAATGATCATAAGCGCGCCAAAAGTTTATTAGATGCACTTATGCCAATGTTTGCAAGTTCTTTTGGTGCACTTATGTCAGTTTATACTTATGCTAGTTCGCACATGCTCCAGTTTTGACAGTTCACACTAATGTCGATTTGCACTTATGCAAATGTTTGCAAATTCTTTTGGTGCACTTATACCAGTTTTTGCAACTGCTTTGCATATAAGCCAGTTCGCACATAAGCCATTCGTACTTACGAAATTTGCATTTATTCAGTCGTCCCCTTTTGTTTCTGAAAAACAATTAACATGCGCATACTTACACCTTATGAGAGATTTATAAAATGGTTTATCTTTTTGCTAAACGCAAATCGTCAGTGTTTTAATGCGCTTTCATCATTGTTGCTTCGGGGGTTGAGGTCCTATCTTTAGCGTAATAAATGTTTAATTTTTTCAATCATGCCGTATATATAGTAAAAAATTAAAAATAGAAAAAAACAGTTTTTTCATTATTTAAATAAAACTTAAAAGCTTTTGCAAGCTACGGGCAATTTTTTTTTTTTTTTTTTTTTTGCCTTGACAGCAGTACCCTCTGAAGTAGCAGTAAGGTCTTCTTAAATTTTTTCTTTTTTATGTTTTAAACCAAAATTGTATTTACGATGCGAATAGTAAACATAATTTTATATTATGCTTATTATCCGCAGCTTATTAAGACAAATTACCTGAGCACATAAATAACATAAATATCTCTATCATGACGTATGGCAATAAATTTCTACGCTTTTGGTGTTTTTATTAGTTTAGGCTCTTTTTAAAGGTCTTTTTTTTTGGTGTTTTTATTAGTTTAGGCTCTCTTTCTTTCGTTTGTTATAGTATATAATATTTTCATTTATGTTATGTATATACCCGACGGGCATTTGTTTTTAAAAGTTACGTTCTAAATGTATTTTAAATGTCTTCTAAACGTCTTCTAAAAATTCTTACGCAAAAAACGTTTAAAAGACATTTAAAATACATTTAGAACGTAACTTTTAAAAACAAATGCCCGTCGGGTACTATCTATAGAAGTTCAAAAATGTTTTATTTTGTATTTTAAAAAAGCAAAAAAAAACTAAAAAATAAAAAATATGCAAGCAAATGAATTTGAACCAGGGCGATTCACTTAAGAAATGCTGAAACCTTATTACTTTGTCCACGAATTGCTTGATGACACTATTTAATAAAGAAAAGGCTTCCCAGTGTGGGTACGGTGCGTTTTTAAAACGTAGATATTTGCATACACTTTAGTTCACGTTTTCTCATAAAAAAAGTGTTGCTACACTTTCTTGCTATTAACTTGGCTTTAATGGCTGCCGTGAGTTCTGGGTTAAACACACAAGAATGAGTAAGCAGCAGAAGCAGCTGCAGCTTTGAGTTTACTACTAAAATTTTATAGGATTCGTCAATAAACGGTTCGCATTAGGATTTAAATTTTAAAAGTAAAATAAAATATTGATTATTTAACTGATTACAATGTTGATTCCATATAATAATGGTTGAGTTTTAAAAGTTTTCATTTTAAAAGAATTAAATTCCATTGAGAATAAATTTAGATAAAAAAAAATCTTAAAAAAAAATTACAATAATAAAGATAAATCTTAAAATAAATAAAGTATATAAATCTATATTGTTCCATAAAAATGGTTCGCAAAATGAAATAAATAATTTATTAAAACTTTAATGAGAAAACCGCTGTTGAATTTAATTATCAATCTTTAAAATATATTTATTTATTTACTCTTCAAGTGCAAACTGTTTCTCCACCATAGTGCTTTGATACGTGACGTTAAACTGTTTTACTCCACCATGGTGCTTTGATACGTGACGTTTAAACGATTTATTCCTTTAAAAAAAAGTATATCTTTTAAAAAACAATAATACATAACTTTGAGTTATTTCCAACATTAACACAAATTAAAGCAGGCTTCACACTAAAATCATATTTTAAACATAAACAAATATTTATTGGCTTCAGTTCATACATTGACTATTTTATAGCCTGCTGCCGCAATGGAGTGCCGCTACATTGACTGAAGGTCTGGAATAGTGCAGCAATCTTAGATAGTCTCCACTGACAAAAGCACAATAAGCAGAGCAATATAATTATTTTAAGCTGCTACCTAGCAACTGTAGGACCTAGCAAACGTTATTTGAACTAAAATCGTAATAAATTTTTCTCTGGTGAGTTTTTAACGATTGGGGTACTTGTTATAATCAAAAATGATTGAAATTATTGAAATGTCGGTTTGTGTAAACATTCTGCACAGTTAATCTTTCATATATACAAAATCGACGATTGTAGGTAGTGTCTGAAAATGAATAATTATAGTGTAAAATTTGTCAAATAATCTATATTCAATGGAATTCATTTTCTTCTCAACATTGCAATCTAGTGTTTTATAATTTCACATTTTGCATTTGTTTTGAAATTCTTTAGGAAATTAAAAGATTTCATAAGTATTTGAAAATTATATGATAAATACCTATTTGGTGTGAAATAAATTCCGTTCATACGATCTCCATAAATATCTAATAACGTCAAAAAATTCTACTTTATATTGTACTTAAGATAACATCCTAACTAATTTTATAGAATTAAAAGAATAAAGTAAAAAACTAGATTTAATTAGGTAACTAAACAAGAGCCCTACAGCAATTTATGTTAACACATTGTACTAAAACAATCCATTATGCTTACATCAAAACATGACATCATAGTAATCTATGCTGATACCAGATTGTTTTATATTTTACAACCAAATTTTGATTATAAAATGAACAAATTAACAAGTACCAAACTAAACTTACAATTGTAATAATTTGTGTTGTTTTAGTTTTTAGTAAAATATCAGTCGTTTGATAAACTAAATAAAAGCTTTTTTAAAATGTGCTTTCTTAATAAATATTATTTAAAATGCCCATACGTACTAAATGAACACAGTTCATTTAGTACGTATGGGCATTTTAAATAATATTTACGGATATATTTGCACAAGCAAAGTTTTTTAAATATTATTTGCAACAATATATAATATTAAGAAATATTTATAAAATTAAATAATATTATATTTATAACAATATATAATATTATTTTTTGTACTTTAAGGTATTAACAAAAATCAAACAAAAATTAAAAAAATTTTCCATTATATTTCAAGCCTAATTTTCAAAAAAAGTTTCAAATCAAAAAATTTCAAGCCTAAATTAATGCAAAATTTTACAGAAATTAGTAGTATGAAAACTTTTTCTTGTAGTTAAATTTAGTTGTTTGAATAATTATGTTTCAGTCCATAATAGTTTTTCAGACTTCTCCAGATACCGTCACAGCAATAACTTTGTTAGTTTTTTAACTTCATAGTCAAGTTTTCGGAAATTTGAGTCTTAAAACATCTTGTTTGCTTAATTTTTTTTACCAGTGTTCAAAAAAATCTTTGGATAATTGCCACAGCCCGAATTTTACTAACTAAAATCACATATTTTGACTATATTTGAATGCTTGTTTTAAAACCATTAACCATTACAAGGTTAAACTGAATGTCCCATTTACTATAAAAGACAATCTCGAAACCTATCGATTAAGATGAATTAATATCCAAGTGTTTGCAAGGGCATACACAAAACAATAGTGAAGCAATCAACTACTTCATTTGAAAAAATGTTCAAAAGATGAACGAGCTGAAGTATTATCAAAACAGCTGTATCATCTGTTGTTTTAGAGTTTATTGATAGAGCAAGAGAGATTAGCGGAGTTTTTTAAATATTGCAGACAAAAGCAGGTTGATTTATGGATGTTAAGACAACAGGTATCAGCGTAAGAATTTTTCTATGATAAATGAGATCTATGAAATAAGAAACATTTTAATTAATTTGAAATTTTCAAGAAATACTTCTTGTTATATTTTTTGGAGTTTCAATTAAAGTCAACAAGGTAGTACAAACCTAAATTTAATTTAAAGTACCTTTTCTTTTTTTTCTTTTTTTTTTAAGGGGGTTATTTATTTTATTACTTTTAAAATAAATTTTAAAATTTACACAAAAGTGGTTGAAACTTTAGCTAATAGTACACCTAACATACACTGAAAAAATGAAGTCAATAGTCAAGTTGCAAAACTTTTGCAATTATTTTTTTTTTCAAAATTTTGTAATAAAAAAAAGAAATTTAATTAATAAAAAATAAGTTTTTGTTGCAATTAAGGTTTCGTAATAACAGTTTAAGCAATTTTAAGGGGGTCAATTACTTTAACAACCTAATTTTAAAGTGGTCAGCTATTTTATCAGTTGTTGCATTCTTAGTGTTTTTTTGCAATTTTCTTTTTTGATTTGGAATCTTATTGGCCTATTCAACCTGGTTTATTCAACTGACACATAAAATTTGATAACATCTAACAGCGTAAAACAATGAACTCGTTCTATTTAATACAACTTGTTTTTAAATGTGGTTAATTGAAAATATTGATCAATATAAGTTAAAAAAACAAAAATTAAAAAACAGCAAGAAGTTTCATCCCAAATGTATCATTCGACTCACTCATATATTAATTTAGTGCTTTTTAACATTAATGGAGCTGGTTAATTTAAAATAAAAAACTTTGATCAAATGAACTAATTAAAGTTTAATTGACGTAACTAAGCAGAATGGCGTAACTAAACAAAATACATGTGTCAGTAATTTCAACAAAGTTCTCAGTTTAAAAATTTCAAATAAATGCACAACAGGTTTCGTTACTACATAATAAAACTCGTAATTTCTTTTTGTGTGTTACTGGCACTCATTAATGTGATCTTTGTCTAACATCTATTAAATTTTGACGTTTTTATATTATTCAATATTGCTAGGGAAAAACAATAAACTGACCTAACAATTATATCTACGTAATTACAATCAAAATTTCTTTAATGCAACGATTTATATCTAAGATCGTTGTGATAATACTTTAAATGTGCATTTAGTCAAATTTGAATATTTTTGTTTTTAAATTATTGCGTGAAGGAAAAGAGAGAAAAGTTTAAGCAAATAACTCCATCAATGCTGTTTAAATGCATTCATACCATCGTATATTTTCATTGCTTAGTCTAAATATTTATTTATTTTTACTATTATTGTTATCATTATTACTAATAGTAATAGTCTATCAATACTTTTGCTATTATTATAGATAGTATTATATAACAAGTTTATTAGTGTAAAATAAAAATTGTTTTCCATAAACGTTGAGTTAAAAAAGAACCAATAAAATAAATAAAAACAAACAAATAAAAAAGTAAAATAGAAACGATAAAATCAATAAGTGAAAACATATTTAAAAAAAGTTATTTTAAGGTAAAATAAAAACATCAATTACTTTATTTAAATATTAAAAATTATCTTATCTTTTTTTTTTAAGTTCTTTTGAAATTTGTATGGCTTTTATATTTATAGACAAATAATCATAAATATTTTGATCTGAATTTTTTTTTTGATAACTCAAATCAGTCTACAGTGTCCGGTTTGTCTAATAGTCTGGTAACAATCTGGTTTTTCTAATGAGAAGCACGCGTACAAACCCCTACAAGAAAAATAGTTGAAAATAATGTTATTCGTGCGAGATAAATTCGCCAAACGAGTCATAAAGCTTAATCTGCTCCTTAAAATACCACTAGCCATTACTTTATATAATGACTATATTTTTATTTATCAAAAATAAAATCGGCCGACTTTTATAAAAAATAAAGATGATTATAATTATACCAAATTTAATTTAAATTATTTAAAACAACTTTTTGAAGGATCAAAGAAAATCACGTTTTTGGCGCCCATTTTTAATCGCTACTTATTTAGTGATAAAAATAGTCCAAACATTTTAATTTCTTGAAGAATTTCTTGAAAAAACAACTGTATATTTAACTATTTAAAAATCTTTAATAAAAAAAAAAATCAACATCTTTTTTTGTTTGTAGAAAACCTGCAACTTTTGCGTTGACGTTGCGGCATTTGATACTTTGCGAATATTAATTAAATTAACATTTTTTTTCTTTTTCATTTTACTAAAAATAAAAAAATATGCAGATATCCAATGAAAATTGCTAGTTGTTTATGTAAAAAATTACGGAAACCTCTGAGTGAGCTAATTTCTAAAACGAATGAACTAACGTGTAACTTTTTTTAAATGCAAACAAGCTTATATCCTTAGCAATTAAAAAGTCTCGTATTAGCATGTTTATTCTAAGAAAGTTATGAAAATTCGCCTAAAGTAAGGCGAATAGAAAATTCGCCTTGCCTAAAATGTTAAATTTTAGAAGTTTACACCTTTGAAAAATCCTCATCAATTAATATGCTTAAAAAAATAAATAAGATCGAATCATATTTAAAAAACAGAAGCTTAAACGTTAATATAAATAATTACATTTGAATTGGCTACAATGGAAAAAAACAATTAACTTTTTATAATTACACAAATATATAACAGAGCAAATAATTAACAATATCTGGCAAAATATTTTAAAATGCAGATTTTTAAATGTAAATTCATAGTGTATAACGGGATAATGTTTAATAATTATTATATATACATATAATATATGTATATATGATATATATGATATATATATATATATATATATATATATATATATATATATATATATATATATATATATATATATATATATATATATATATATATATATATATATATATATATATATATATATATATATATATATATTATAAGAGCAGTATTTTTAAGTACCTACGTTCACTAAAGTATATTAAAATACTTTGTAGTTGAATTAATACTTCAATTTTGAATCCTTAAATATGCTCTACCCTGCCAAAACCTAAAGCAAATTATCTTTTACCCCATCTTTCTTCATTCTACTCATTTTTAACAAAACAAATATATTGACGCGTCAAATATGCTTGTTTACAATTCCAAAGGAAACTTTTTTCGTTGTACAAAGCCAAAACTTTAAACAAAATCGATATATAAAAAAAAAAAAAAATCGTGTAAGATAATTCTCAACGTTTATTTGCTTTGTAAAAAAGGATTTTTTTATTAGCTTCAGCTTAAACAAATTAGCTGTTGTTTACAAACACGCTGTGTTTAATTTCTGCTACATAGCGAGCAAAATATAAAAAGAAGTGAAAAATAATTTTGAAAAAAAAAGAAAGAAACAAAGAATAATTCGATTTCTAAACGAAAGCGTTTGCTTTTTTAATTACAAGCGTGTTTTTTTTTTTTTTTTTTTTTTTTTTCCTTTCGTTTTTGGAATGAAACACTTTTTTATTATTAGAGAAAAGATGTAATGGAGTTTTACGAACAATTTAAAAACTTATTTAGATTTGTTAAAGAAATATATAATCATAATAAGTTTTGTAAGTTTTGAACTAGTAATAGTTTTTTTATTATTAAAAGTACTTATGGTTTAAATGCAATTTTCTTTAGATATGGATGAAGTATGGCTTATAATTACTATTGTAATAGACATTGCTGTTATTGCTGCCAACTCTGGGGAAATAACGCTTTTAATAAAGAAATGGCGCAACTTAGATCGAATCGAACATTTACTTCTCAGTTTATCTATAGCCGATTTTATTGCCGGAATAGCAATGACTTGTCAAGATATAAAGCAACTAGTTCATGTTGTACGCGACAACAAATTCCAAATGAATGAAACAGATGCAATAATATTTGACAACTTGTTTGTATTTTGTGTTCTTGTTTCAAACTTTCATGTGATATCCATAGCAGTGGAAAGATTAACAGCGGTTGTATTTCCTATGAAATACTCCTTATTTACAACATTCAAGTGTAAGGCTATTACTATATGTTTTGTATGGTGTTTTTCTATTGTTAGCACTGGAGTAATAGCTTCAAGTTTTAAATACAAAAGTCAACCTGCTAGTGAAAATTTACGCTATCTAACTTGCGCTGGAATTTTACTATTTGCTTGTATATCAGTATTTATGATCTACACTGTTTTGTTTTGTGCGTTGGTTATTCGCGAGAGAGAAATGAACAAAATGCTTCCACAAGAGACAAGAAAGTACTTGCGCGATAAACGAACAACACTTTTTTGTTTACTTATTGGAGTGACGTTTGTAGTATGCATTTTGCCTCCAACACTTGGATATTTTAGGCTATACCATCCGATCCAAAACTTGTTTTATACATTAAATCACTTATTGAATCCGTTCATATATTTTGCTAAATCTTTATACGAAAAGAGAGCGCGAAGTCGCTCCGCAATAAAATATCGCATTCAAACTACTAATGAATTTGTAACCTAGTTCTAGCTTTTCCAATTCGTCTTTTAATGGGTGCGTGTATATAAACATGTAAATATTGTTTCATTTTTTTAAAATAATGAAAATTAGATAGAGGACTATTGAGAGTGGGTGGTGTGTAGTTGCGTAACCAACAGCCTTTTGTTTGAGACAAATTTGTTAGTAAACAAATTGGAACTCTCAATCTTTACAGATGAGTTAGTGTAATATATTTTGTAAAAATTATTTTTATACCATTATGAGTTTTTGTTTTATATGTATATACATATACATATATACATATATATATATATATATATATATATATATATATATATATATATATATATATATATTATATATATATATATATATATATATATATATATATACATATATATATATATACAAAATACCATAAAATTTAATATCACCCCTCCCTAACTAAACGTTTCTGGATCCGTCCCTGACATATACATATATATATATATATATATATATATATATATATATATATATATATATATATATATATATATATATATATATATATATATATATATATATATATATATATATATATATATATATATATATATATGTATATATATATATGTATATATATATATATATATATATATATGTATATATATATATATATACATATATGTATATATAAATAGATATATGTATATATAAATAGATATGTATATCTATATATCTCTCTCTCTGTGTATATATATATATATATATATATATATATATATATATATATATATATATATATATATATATATATATATATATATATATATATAATATATATATATATATATATATATATATATATATGTATATATATATATATATATATATATATATATATATATATATATATATATATATATATATATATATATATATATATATATATATATATATATATATATATATATATATATATATATATATATATATATATATATATATATATATATATATATGTATATGTCAGGGACGGATCCAGAAATGTTTAGTTAGGGAGGGGTGATATTAAATTTTATGGTATTTTGTATCACATTTGCGCCTCCTAAAAAAATAAAAAAGTCTTTTATTTTTAAGATATTTTAGGACTTTCAGATTCTAGTGGGGGATGTTTAGCCACCAACCCCTCCCCCTGGATCCGTCACTGATATGTGTATATATGTATGTTTTCATATTTACTTAATTTAAAACAACCTTATCAAAACAAGACTTTGGCATTTAAACTTTCAATATCTAATGCATTGCCCAAACATGCAATGCTGCCACCAAAGCTTACAAAATACTTGTATACAAATTGTCCAAAATTTAAAACTCTGGTAAAAGCAATACATAGTTTATAAACGTCCATTTTTAGCATTTACTATAATCACTTAGGTTTATTCAGAAAAAAAGATTTTTACAATTAAAAGCATTCTATATTGTGCAACAAAAGTACCACAAGAAACGTTTGTTAATTTCAAAATAAGATGTGCCGAGCTCGGTCCTTACATTTTTATACGAACATAGAAATATCGGAAAATAATTAGCTACTGTAGTTACACGAGTTTTGTTTCTTTTTCTGTAAAAAAATTAGTAGGTCAATTTTCTTTTAAGGCTAATGTTTGAAAATGAGCCAATTCGGTTTTTTAAAGTTGATGTTTGGTAACAGAGCTAATTAGATGTACTTTTTATGCCTAATGTTTGAAAATTAAAATTATTAATTGTTTTAAATTTTGCTTTAAATTAACGTAAACAAATATGTTTTGAACCAATGATAAAAATTGGATTGTTTCTTTCAAAAAAAACTTATTTGAAGCTATAGTTTTTTGTTAAACATTGTCAATGCTTGCAAAACTTGTTTTAAGATGACTTTGTTTTAAGATGACTAAGATGATATTTTTTGTACTTTTTTCAAGTTACCATTTAATAATTGATCTTTTTCATAAATTTAGTTAGATAAATCCCACGCAATGTAACCAGCTGGAACTTTAACATTGTCCCTAAACAAATCAAGTGTAAAAGAAGGAACAAGTATTTTTTTTTTTTTTTTTTTTTTCCATTCAACAAGCTACATCTTCTTTATGAAAAGTATTATACAATTATAAATGTTTTTAATGCTCCATTATTAACTATATGATAAAAAGCTTTCAATCTCCAGTTATATACTTTATGAAATTCTAAACATGCGTTAACATTTGCAGAACTATTATCTATAACAACAGCAAAACCGTTATTTCTTTAAATTGATTTATCCCCTCTCCCTCTTCCCACTCGGTGCAAAATCTCTATAAAGTGGCCATAATTCAAAATATTTCCAAACTTTATAAAATGAATTTTTTTTAATGAATCGTATTAATAGTGTTATCGATAATTGCATAGATAATTTTTTTGAGGAATATATTCGGCTAGTCAGGTTTTGAAAAATTTGAGTCAGGTGATTTTTAGTTTTGAGAACTTTTTCTTTCAATGAATCAAAAAAATTTTTGTTGACTTTAATAAACTATTCATAAAAAGTTATATAAGATTAAAATAATGGCTAATTTTTTTGTAGCTTTGTATACAATTTTTAAATCACAATTTAAATAAAATTAGAGAGAAATATAATTTTTATTTATTTGAGAGAAATGGGTTCCATTGACATCAGAAGCACTTCTGTATTTTTATAAACACATGATTGATATCAAAAATCACAAAAGAAATATCGTCAATGAACAGTGGAACTGTGAAGCAAGCAACCAATTACAATATCTAGTTTTTAAAGATAAATTATTAAACCAAAAGATTTCCCACTAAAAACAAAGTTACATAATGAAACTTAAAAAATATTTTTTGAACTTTAAAGTTTGTTTTGAGTGTTTTTAAATAAATTAAGTTAAAGTATAATATCAAATAATCACCAATAAACAAGAGCACAAAAAATAAATACAAATAAACTTTATAATAAACTAATCCCAATAAAATACACATTAACAACTGCTTTCAAATTTTTAAATTCAACAATAAATATCATAGGCAAGCTAGAATAACTATAAGTAACAATGTGTATAGACCATCGCAGGAAAGATTAAGAGTTAAAACACTAATAAAATAAAATCAAAAGTGCAAGTACTAAAACATCAAAGGTTCGAATAAAAAAATTATAAAAAAGTTTGTTTTTTTAAACATTTTTGTAAAAATTATAAAAACAAAATGTTAACCTTTTCTGTAATAAAAAATCTCAATCAATTTACTAATGAAAATTAATTCGCTTCATTAATAAAACGTTGAGATTTTTCTGTCATTCTTTATAAGCCATTTTTATAATCTGGTTTTAAAAAAAAAATTTTAAAAGAACTTTTTCAATAATATTAAATTTAGTAAAATGACTTTTACGTGGCATATTGGGACAACAAACTCTTTATTTAATTAATTTTATCGCCATTAATAAAGCTATTTACAATGTGAGATGGTCTTATTTTAAGCTTTAAATATTATTTTCTCTATTTAGGTCATTTTTATAACTATATTCAACTGTCGATAGTGTTTAATGCAAATCACTATGGTAACAATGGTCACTTGCATGAAACGAATGCAAATGGAAGTAAATTATTTTTTATATATTTTTTTTCTTTTGAAAACAAAAATTAACAAAGCTTATGAATACTAAACTAAATAGTATAACTAATGTACTTGCTGTTGGTGCTGGTAATAATCAAAGGACTAATTTTGGTTATGATTTTTTGAGAGGCTAGTTCCTGTGAATATTACACATATTCACAATTTTTTCATTTAATACTGAATAAATTTTTTTTGTCGTTTTAATGACTGATCCAGCCAACATTGAGATATGAGTACCGTATGGGATCCATATGGCTGTCAACTGGGACCCTAACTTGATTATAACAATAGTTTCCTTCTGAGGTTCATATGGGTTTGCTTTTTAGTATTCCATATGGGTCAAAATATATTCCGTGTATAAAAATTGTACAGAACCTATATGGGTTAGCTACTGAAATTCATTTGGGAAACCCTGCGAGATCCCTTCGCATTTTAGCGGTGGTTTCCATCTGGAAAATGTAAGGTCTAACTCTCTGGGTAACTATTATGAGTTCCAACTAGTTGTTATTGCAGCATATCATTTAAAAAATTCGAGGAGTTTCTAAAAACTACTTTTAAACCACACATAAAAGCTAAACCGTATAATTTCAGGCTTATATCTAATAAAAACCATTTAAAACTGTTTTAAAAATAAAAATGGGTAACTTTTTAAATTTTACTCTTGCATTGTCACTAACGTAATAAATTCGAATAAAGCAACATATATTTATAATTATCATCTAATTTAAATACTTCGTTACAAATTTTCACATTTCAGCCATGCATCATGTAAAAAAATTTAATCTTCCACAATTTCAGGTAATAATCTTGCACGATCATATCCAATAATGATGTCAGCTGGGAGGAATTGGTGTTCAACTTGTGATGATAATGCCTGAATAAATGATATCCTCGTTTTCATTTGAGCTAGTATAGAAAAGAGAGTAGCTTTTTAGGACCATTTTTGTAATGAAATAGATGAATTTTGGTTTGCCGTTAGGTCCAACTACATCTGCAACAATACTATTTAGTTTCCTTTCTGCTCGATACTGTAATATCTTTGCATCATGATACTGAGATATCTCTGCATCAACAAGCTACTGAGCCTTATTAAGCTCAGCAATTATGTGACGAAGAACATCGTTATCATAATCATCATCATCATGATCATTGTCATCATCATCACCATCATCATCATTTTCATCAACATTATTTTTATCATGATCATAATCATGATCATCATCTACATTAATAACTGCTAATATATTTTGACAGGCATCTCTTCTTATAATAGAGCCAGGACGTGCTTCTGGTACTGGAGAAATATTGATTTTTGATATTTGGTTGTTTTAAATTGCTCATACTGCTTATTCTTTCGATGCTCTAGGCCTTGAAATTTTGTATCATTTTGGTTCTTTGATCAA